AGTTATTCTCCATCCTTTTCTTCTTAATGATACTGGAACTTGAGTCCAAGGCATTTGCACTAAACTAGAACCCCAGCCCTTTTGTTTTATTTTATTTTGTGGTAAGATTGTGTCGAATCACTAAGTTGCCCAGGCTGGGCTCAAACTAGCAGTCCTCCTGCCTCAGCATCCCATAGTGCTGGAATTATGGGCATATACCACCACACCTGGCATTTTTATCCTTTCAAGAAACTTTTTGTTTCACTCAGCCAGGATCAACCTCTGTTGCTTGCTACAAAGAGCTCTAGTCTATATGGTGGTTACTAATTAATTCAGAATTCTTAATACATCTACAACATCCACTATACTTTAAGGATATTCAGATTGGCAAATTACCTGTCTGTTCCTGTAGAGGCTATTTTAAAAGTAATGAAAATTTTAATCCTATGTTTCTGACACTAGTATATTTCCAATGCTGTTCAAGGATGACACAGAAGCACAGTGAGTTCTCATGATCAGGGACCTACAGGACTTAATGAGCCATGGCAGTCCTGGAGCCAGTGCAAGATAAGTGCGGCTTAGCCAAACAGTGGTGTTTTGCCTACCTTCGAGTCCCAGAGAGTTATCACCTCAAGGATACCTCTGCCCAGTCTCAGACAATGATTGATTCTTCCCCCATGTTACGTGATAGTAACCTTATTAGTTTCTGTAAGAGTAAATTTTGCCTAGCAATTAGTAACACAGACGTGTGTAACCAAGAATAGAATGTTATCTGCCTTTTGTACTTCCTCCTGAAAACCTATATATGCAATTAGTAACCTCAAAACAATGGTGGTGATTTGAACCTCAGGGCTCCCCAGTCCAGTAGCGTAATAAAGCTACCTCCCAAAGTTCCTCTGGTGCCATTGTCTTCCATTTGATCTGGTCCTGAATTCCACAGTATCCCAAGTATCCATTACTGCATCCTACAAAATCATTCCCAAATTTTTGTAGCTTAAAATAATCTATTATTTATCTCATGTTTCTGGGAGTTGAGTGGAGCCCCAGAAGGGTGTTCCCAACTTCAGGTCTCTCGGGCAGTTGTGGTCAGACAGTGGCTGGCTCTGGTCCATCTGAAAACTGGACTCAGCTCATTATCCAAATGCTCCTTCACTTATATTTCTGGTTCTTGTTTCTGTCTCTCATGCTTTCTCCCTCTCTCTCTCTCTCTTTGGATGGTGTCTCAGCTCCCAGAAATTCTCTTTGCGGCCTAGGGCTTTTCACAACATTGTAAACTCACGGTACACAAGGCAGCTAGATTTCCAGGGCCAAAGAACTAATACTTAGGTCTACACCTGGAACCAACACAGTAGAACTTATGTATTCCTTTGGTCAAAGCAGTCACAGCTTCTGCCTAGGAATAGGGAGATGGGAAGTAAAGAAAGAGCCCATAGATCTTAAAGCAGGAGTGGTAAGTTCACACTGCCACAGCCAGAGATAGTTCTGTGGCCATCTTGTGAAAAGAGAGTCTGCATACTACCCGAAGGAGATAGGTATATTCTGGAGAATAATAGAGGAAACAATCAGTACTATAGGTTTACAATCAGTACTGTAGTTTTGGAAAGACAAGTTCCCCTCCTATGCATCTGTGGAATGACACAGTATCTTCAGTGGTACAGCTCTGAGTTCTCAGCAGAGCTACTCTCTTCCCCTCAGAATCCCTATTCTGCAGCAAATGATGCAGTGCCACTCGGGGACCCCAGGAGTTTTAGAATCTGAGGGGAAATTTTTCTCCCAATATTAGCTGTTTGTCATTACTTGGGAAAATCGACTGAGTGGAGAAATTGATAAGCAGTCTCCTAACCAGCCACACTTTGGAACTGAGTGTTTACAAAGTAGCAGGGAAAAATAATAATCTGGTAAGCTCCAGGCCAGTCTCCAAGGTATGTAATGTGAGACAGCTGTCAAAGGAGGAGGGCAGCACTTCATCTGAGAGGTAAGAAAATGAGAATAGGGTTGAATACAACTTGCTGGAACACAGCAGCTACCCAAATAATAGTCTGTTTACCTTCACACAAAGAATCCTTTCTTTGGCTCTTCTACAGAAATGCAAGGAAATGTAGTTTTGCCTCTCATATGCAATATCTCTGACCTTTGAAGATGGTCCGTTTTATTTATCATTTTGACATTGTTGCTTTAAGGCCATGGTCTCTCTCCACAGCCGCTAGTACTATACCTTACAGGAACATCTCTGTTATTTGCACCAAGCAGGTCTGAATCTATTTTTTTAGACCTGTTCATCCTGGGCTTCTCAAGGTTGACCAGGAAAGTGTCCTCCTATTCTAGAGCCTGAGGGCGTTAGTGTCTTGTGTGTGGTGCTTGTCTCATGTACCCTATTGGCACCTAGATTAGTAGAGTAAGCCAAAAGTTATAAATAGTTCCCTGAGTCTTAGATCATTTGTTTCTGCTTTGCTTCTGTCAAGGCAACTGTTCCATAAGATCTACATGCTTTTAATACCTAATAGCATTTTCTCTGTCACATAAAGTTTTCATTGGATCCCGCATACCCACAATCTTTGTATTATGGTTATTGTCAGCACCATCTTTTGCATACATTAGTTCTTGGTTTCAAATGACATAGAGCCACACTCAAATTGGCTAAGGACAAAATGCAAATTTATTGGCTTAGCAAACTGAAAGGTAAAGGGCTGGGCTGGCTTCAGATGTGGCAGGATTTAGACTTTAAACTGTGCCCTGCCGGGCATGGTGGCACATGCCTGTAATCCCAGCACTCAGGAGGCTGAGGCAGGAGGAGAGTTGCGAGTTTGAGACCAGCCTGGGCTACAAAGTGAGCTCAAGGGCAGCCCGAATTGCGTAGCGAGACCCTGTCTAAAAAAGACCAAAAAACAAAGCAAAACCAAAAAAAAAACCTGTGTCCTTAACACTTGGTTTATCTTTCCTTTGTTTATCTTTCCTTTGTCTAGACTTTATTCTGTCTTCATTTAGTTCGTCCAGGAGCTCCAGGCAGTCCCTTCAGGGTGACAAGATTGTTGGGACAGTTGTAGCTCTACATTTTCTGAAGTTACAGCTCAACTCAAAAGAGAAAAATCTTTCCTGTGTCTTTCAGCAAGTCCTGAGATTTATTCTGACTCAGCCAGTATAGATTGCTGCTGATCTCTGAACCACTTCGCATAGACAGAGGAAGGTGCAGTGCGCCCAGTGTCTCAGGCTTGAGTCAGATGCTTCATCCTCAGGGACTCACTGAGTAGGCACCAAATCTGCAGGAAGAGTCAGGAGCTGTTGTTGGAGAGGGGAAGGGAGTGTAGGGAGGCAAAGTACAACTGTTGATGTTATCATTTTCACCACCAGAATTATGTTTAAGCTACCATTAGATGTATGATTCTATTTAGTCCTTAGGAGTACCATGGCACATAGCAACTGCGTAATAAATGTTGAAAAACTGGGCTTTTTCTTAATCATAAACATTAGTTCAGTCCTGTAAACTACCAATCAGACAGGGCTGCCAAGAGCCGAATACATAAAAGCAAGAAGATATTACTCCCTTCTAGCATCAATAATACATCAGATTTTAGAGTATATCTTCTTCAGACTTTTATTATTAGACTGTTTTGATTACCTAGGCAGCATCTGCACATGTTATAAAGTGAAGTGCATTTTATATTGCTATATAAATGGATGGTTTTAAGTCTCTCCCTAGGCAAAGGAATCTGACACACTTCACTGTCAGCCGAATTGGAATTGGATTGCTTCCAAAATGCACTTTCAAATGCTGAGATGCACCTCTTTGCTGGTGCCTTGCTGTCTGAGCAGGAAGCCTCTTGCTCTGGGGGTGAAGGCAGGGGGTCGAGGGGAGGAAACTGCCAAGTCAGCTTCCACAGGCAGGGGAGACGCATACTCTTTCACCTCTTTCCATTCCTATTGCTTACCTTTTTTACACTCTAAACAGGGAATGATTTCTGCAAGAAGGCAGGGCACAGAAAATTATGTGAGAAGCAATTTCTTCCAAGGACGATGCTACCGTTGGCACATAACTGGCACCATTCTGGGTGCATACATATAAGTTAATTCATTGTGGATGCATGGAGCAGAATTCCTTATATACTGTGAGTATTAGGGAACAATTCTCTCAGAGTTGAGAAAATCTGATTCAGTGATGCATTGTCATTTTGAGTGGGGTGCCTTAGTGTCTACTGAAGAAAAGAAGGTTAATTATTTCTCTGGCCATGGACAGGGTTGCAACATCCATTAAATGGACATGCACAAAAATACACGGATTTTTTCTTTGTCTCTCTCTCTCTCTCTCTCTCTATATATATATGTATTTTATATACAGTAGACATTTATATATATGAATATGTATTTTATATATAGTATATGTTCATATACGTGACTATGTATTTTATACATAGTATATGTTCATATACATGAATAGGTATTGTATAGTATATGTTCATATATATGTGAATATGTATTATATATAGTATATGTTCTATGTCCAATACTGAATATCTTTCTATACGCTCTTGTAGTGTTACACAATATACACTTACATATACAAAAATACACATACATATTCTTTGACTTTAGAAAGAAAGAAGCAACTTCCAGGTTGAAGGAGAGAAATCCTTTTCTCAGTATGAATGGATCCACCTTGCTCTGAGGAGCACGGCAGCCGCCTAATGTGAGGCGAGAATGGCAGTGTCATCGGCCTCAGCCTAGGCCCTGTCCTCATCTTTGGACTCTCTGAGTCCACAAGGGAAGGGCAGGTAGTTCCCCCTTGGACAGCATCTGTGGGCACCCCCACCTTGGGGCCTGTACCAGTCTCCACACTTTGGGGAAGGGAGCTAGCGAGTCTCCAGGGAAGCATCTTCCCTCCCACCCACTTCCTGCCCTTCCAGCAGGGCAGAGACTCCCTCCATTCAGGGAGACCCTAATCATGAATAATGGCTTCCTCGTTGCTATTGTCTTGTTCTTTGGCTATAAGGTAGCTGAAAAGATGCCTTTCAGGTATTTATTTTCAGTGCTATGGAGAATGAGAACTATGGAGAAACATAGAGCCATGGAGTCTTCTGACAAAATCATGGGTGGTGTCAGAGCTACTGATAAAGCCTACGCTTGCACAGCCCTGGCCCCGAGCATCAGAGAATCCAGAAACTATATAAAAGTCAGATATGCCGTAACTCCACAGTCAGAGATACAGCAGGCAAGGTAGGCTCAGAAGTAGCCTCTTCTACGTGAATCTGTAGAATAGACCAGATATGAGCTGGACACTTGGAGTTTGCACAACACTTTTTGGATATCTCTCCTTCCTTGGAGAGAGTTTGCAAAAGGAGAGATGGAGAGAGAGGTGAAAATGCAAATCTTGTTTCTTCAACCTCACTCTGATTTTATAATACACTGAGAAAAAATGATCTATCACATCAGTGAACTGTTGTGTGCATTATCCCCCTTCTCTCCTCTGTTTCCCAGAGATAATTTAGCAAGACCCGGCATTCAAAGTACTTAATCAATCACAGTTATGTTGTGAGAATTTTGACTGAGAGAAGGCAATTTGGTGAGCAATTTTTCAAAACTGATTTTCCATTAGTAAGAAGATGAGAAGTTGGGAATTAAGTGGGAACAAAACAAACTGGCAAGAATGTGTATTACAACTGCTGAATCAAACAAACAGTGAGTCATCTGGTCTCACCACGGCCTTTCTTTGTGAAGCTGCTCGTAGACTTTGCTGCATTTTTTGTACCATGAACAGTGAATAGGTTTAGAAATATTCTGATAAACAGTGGGTTTACTTTGTTCTTGTTCCCAGTCCTAAGGTCTGGCCTCCATTGGACTTGGGGGTGGATTTTATTAATAAAACCTGTCAAACATTCTATAGTTAAAATATTTATTCAAGTCTTCTCCTTTCTTTTTAATTAAAAGTAAACTGGTCTATTTCACATAGCCCGAGACAAAGAAAAGATCAAGTTTACTTTCTGTTCACTGGGATTAATGTGAAATATTTACTTTTTCATAAAACAAACTCAGAGGACTATTTGAGATCAGGTCCAATAACATTGCCAGTAGTTGAGAAACATTCTCTTTTACTACCCTTGTATTCTTTTTCTTCAACCTTAAATTTTCATTAAAGGGAAAAAATGTAACAGAGAAAAAAACCAGTGTGAAAATATGTAAAACTTTCCTTGACCAAACTCCTGCTGGTGGTGAGTATATCTGTATAGAAAATAGAACCTGATTCCTTCCTCAATTCAGTAAATATTTACTAAATGCCTAACCTGCAACAGCTACAGGACAGATGCAAGTAGAACAATGTGGGAAGGTCATGGGTCAGACATTTGGATGGCTGTAAGACTTACCCAGGTGTTACAAATACTAAGGGGGCCAAGGCAATCAGATGACCAAAGCAAACAGGAGGGCAATCCTCCACCTAAAGCATTCACACACGTGTAATTTTTTAAACTTCGAGACCTACCATGAGCTTCCAGTTTTCTCTCTCTGGAACATAGGAAATCAACTCCATGGAAGAGTGAATCTGGAAGAACAAGCAGGAGCTCAATAAAAGGAGGAAAAACTGGGAAAGAATTCCTAAATGTGAGGAAGCTTCAGAGCCAGAAGCCTAACGGTGAGAAGGGTGAGAAGGTAGGCCTTTCTTTTGTATGCTCAGGATGGAATTCTGATCCATTCTAACCTGTTCCTGTCCCAGGGAACCCCGGGTCCCACTCCTAATGCTCCTCTGGCCCAAACCTAGGAAACATCATTCTTGGCTCTCTTTTTCTTTCACACTCAGGAAATGACTTAGATTTTTCCTAGTTGCACATATTAATGGAGCTCTCTTGAAGAAAAAAGACTACAAAACTGGATGCAAAAATGAATACTTATTTTGGATAAGTGGTAAAAGTGGCAGGCCCTGAAGCATAAGCTTCATGGAAACTCACCTTAGAAGACCTGCATCAAAGCCATCATTGGAATCTTTGCCTCTTTTGTCAAAAATTTACCCAGAATCCTTTTTCCTCCTGACATGTATCACTGTCACTCTAGGTCAGTGATAGCAAGCCTTCTAGAGCTTTCCATGGTAGCAAACAACTGGCTGAGGCACACACGCCGTACGTTTGCCACCACTGTCAAGCCATCACGCAGTGTGATAATAGATTCCCTCAGTTCTGGCCCCCTAACTGGTCTCTCTGACCCCTTCTGTCTCTCTGACCCCTTCTCCCTGCTACAGGCTGTTCTAAACTATCAGGCAAAACATTACATCATCCCTCCCCGGAATCCTTCAATGCTGATTCATTGTACAGAGAATGAAACCCAGAGTCCTGCCTGTGGCCTCCCGATGCCCTCACAGGCAGCCCTTGCTTACTTCTCAGCCCTGTTCTGCCGCTCTCCCATGGAGCCCACCACTGTGTGTTGGTTGGCTTCCTTGCTGCTCCTTTAACAAGGCCTTACGGCCTTTGCATTTCTTTCCCCCTACCTAAAATATCTTTTCCCAAATATTTTCTTTTTTTTCCTAAATATTTTTCTATCTTTTACCTTTCATGTATTCACCCTTAGTTCAAAAATCACTTTCTGAGCACCATATCTAAATGCACTAAAGAGGGCTGGCAGTGTAACTCAGTGGTGAGCACCTGCCTAGCATGCCTGAGTTCCGGGCTTCCATCCCCAGCACTGCCAAAGAAAAAAAGTGAATGCACTAACTACCTCTAACCTCTATTTCCTTACTGTCTAACTCTTTCCATGTATCATTTATCATTATGTATTATTTACTCATTTGTTATTGTCTATTGCCCCTACTAGAACACAAGCTCTACAAAGGTGGAGATTTTCTGCATTTTATTCACTTGTGTTTCCCCAAACCCTAGCCTAGTACCTGACCAAAAAAATAATGTCCATCCTGCTCTGGAGAAATTTGACCTACAATTATCATCTACAATTTTTAAAATTAGGTAAACTCTGTCAGGTTTCAGATTTTTTCTAAATAATACTGCTTTTGTTCATTGTAGTTTAAAAATATATCCTTTAAGTTATCGTTGGATCTACCAATGGATTTAGCCATACCAGAAGCACAGACTCATTATTCATTACTTATGTTTTTACAGTGTCAAATATTATTCAACTAGATCTGTATCCCACCCTATACTTTATTCACCGTGTTTGACACTAAGTGACTTTTGCAGATTTCAAAAAAGCCAAATAAATACTTAAATGATGATGGCTTGCTAACATTACAGATTCTTTACATTGGTCTGCCTTCCCCACTTGGCCTCCTTGTGTCTCGGGTTCTCACATATAAAATAGGAAGGCTTGAATCAGAAGTTTCTAAGGCCTTTCCCACTCAACATTTTATGAGTTCTAAATATATACAAATATTCTACTTTAGTAGTGTACCTATTGTAACAGATTACCAGAAAACACTGCAAAGACCTCAAGCAAAGCAGATGCAAATGTGTAGCCTTCTAGCTTCCCTAGTTCTTGGCTGAGCAAAGATGCAGCACTGAAGTCACAGTTCCAAAGCAGTGAGTAGTGCTTAGAGTTGAGGGTGGCTGTGGGGTGGAATTTCTCCCTGTGCAGGTTTCCAGGACGTACACACTGTAATCATAGGAAAATGCTGATGACTGTGTGCAAAAATTCCTGGCATAAATCCAGATTTGATCATGTGTGCTCTCAAAATAGTGTAAACATATTAGGCCTTTCCTTGGGTAGATCTGTGGTCATCTAATCTGGCTTCAGCTGTCAGAGCTACCAGTCATCTTAGTAAATAATTTGAACATCAGCTATTTTCCATTATATTTTCTTTCCCTGTGTTAATATCATTATTAAGCTAAATGAGTATGCTTTTAGTAGGAATGAGGAGAACTCTCAGTGCACATGCAAAAAGGTAACACTTGCCTTTGTGCATTTTTTCTTGGAATTCTTTGTCTCTTTATTTATTATTTCTAATAGAATTATAATCACAGTTTGAAAACAACTTTTTTCAGTTTGCAAGTAATTTTTTAATATCCGTTTGGTATTTGACAGTACTATGATGCATTACAAAAATCAGGGGCGTTTAAGCCAGACAGGCCTGACTCTTATTCCTCTGTGGCTATTATCTGCTGAGTCCTTGGAGCAGTTACTTGTGCTTTAGAGAACGCTTTTCCCTGTAACTGAAGTCCAGACCCAAACTAGTTACAGGAAAAGGCAATTTGTAGTCTATTAATTGCAAAAGTCAAAGAGAGGGCAGTGGCCAGGTCGTCACAACCCCATGGCTTTCTCCATCTCTATGGTTGTCTTGGCTCTGTTCATATGCGTGAGCTTCTTCCTTTGCCTGGTGGGGAGAGATGGATATAGCTTTTCCAGTCATCGCTCCCAAGTATAGATTTACCAGTTATTAGCTAGTTGATGTGTTTTGCTAGTTGATGAGCAGCCATTCCCTGAACCTGCTGAGCCCCCCACGTCCAGTCACTGTAGCATCTCTCCCCATGACGTCCATGCAGTCCAGTCCCCCAAAATATGTTCAATGGCACAATAGAGAATTTAAGACCCTGCTACTGCATTGTATCTAGTATTCATTCCAGTAAATGCATTTCAGCTAATATTATCACAGTATTATGCTGATACATGTTACATTCAGAAAGCCTATCTTTCCCTACAGCTTTATAAAAGTGCAATAAAACTCCTTTCCCAGAAATCTCTAGTATATGCCCTCAAAACCCGTTGGCCCAAACTGCATGTTTCATTTGCTGAACAATTACTATGGCCAGGGGAATGTCAGGCCCTTATTAGCTTAGTGTAAAACTGATCATCTGCAAAGGGGAGTGACTTGGTCCTAAAACTAGTGGGAAAGACAACTTCTCGCCTAGGTGAGAGTGGACTGGACACACAAATAAAAGTCAGAGTACAATTGGGAGAGGAGAAATGGATACTAGGGAGGCAACCAACAATGCCCGTTTCATCACTCTCAGGGACATCATCTATAAAATGGTTATAATGAATATAATTCACAGCAACACAGTAAGGCTTAAAGGAAATTGTATATTATATTACTTAGAACAGAAATTGGTTCATTGATTTCACATCAAGTGCCCAGTAAATGGTGGTTAACAACAATAAAATAAAAATAATAAGGGGCTGGGGTTATAACCCAGTGGTAGAACATGGGCTTAGCATGTGTAAGGCCCTAAGTTCAATCTCCAGCACAACAACAACAACAACAACAATAATAATAATAATAATCTGATATCAAAAATTGTGAAGTGTCTGAGATTTTATATCATTTACAACCTTTTAAAGTTAGTCTTCCCATGGTTTACTGGATCCTAGCAAAATACACAGTACTCCTGGGTCAAATATAAAGAACTTTATTGTTCAGAGTAATAATGATAGTGTTATGGTTTTTGTCTGGGAGTCCCCCCAAAGCCTCATGTGGTCATGGGGGGCAAGCTTTTGGAGTTTGATTGATTATGAATGTGAGAGCTGCACCCACCCTGGGGTGGATAGTTTGCATATGTAAGGGAGAGGAAGAGGCTGCTTGAGGCCATTCCTCCCTTTTTAGTTTTTGTTGTTTCTGCTGTGTTCTGCTGCCATGAGCTGTAGCCCTCTGCCATGTGCCACTCTGCCTTGTAACCTGCCAACTATGGACTGAAACCTCCACAAACTGTAAGTGAAATAAACCTTTCCTTCCTTAATTTTGGGCGTCAGGTATTTTTATCCCAGCAACGAGAAAAAAGTAACCAAGACAGATAGCTATAGTATTAGCATTTTCTTACACCAATTCCCTACACCAATAATTTGCATAGAATGATTTAGAGGACCCCACTGACACCTGCATATGCAAAAAGTTGCAGTATGAAACTCTGCAATGGGTTGAGTTTATAATCTCCTTCACATTCATCTGCTGAAATGCTAATCCCCAACGTAATGATATCAGGGGGCTCTCAGGAGGTAGGACCTCTGGGAGGTGATTAGGTCATGAGGGCAAAGCTCTCATGCATAGAAGCAATGATCCTATTAAAGAAACACCAGAATAATCCCTCTCCCCTTCTGACAGGTCAGGTTGCAGTGAAAAGACAGCTTTCCATGAGGGGAAGCAGGCCCCTACCAGACACTATGTCAGCTGCTGTTGCTCAGGTCTTGGGATTCCCAGACTCAAGCACTGTGAATATCAAAAGTTGTCTGTAGCTTCTACAGTTGATGATGATTTGTTTTAGCAGTGCAAATAGACTAAGATGGCAGGCATGTTTAATTTTTCTTATATGGAGTATTTGACTAATTCTGTGTTGCTGTAAGATTTACAGTACATATGATGTGTAGAACCAACCATTCCTGGGCATACATACAAGGAGTGATCAAAAGATACAGTGAGTGTTTAAATAAAAAAAAACTTATTAAAGTGAAAGACACATTGCCAAGAAAAATGGGGTAAGTGTACTTAAAGTGGGAAGGATAGGTTGAGGTAGATTAATATCAGTATATATTTAACTACAATAAATTTTAAAATTTAAATATTCACCCTATTTTAATATCCACAACAGAGTGATCAAATATTTATGTCAATTTTGGTCAAATAGAAGTATTACAGTGTGTCCTTACTCACCTTATTCACTGGATCTGGTACCACAAGACTTCTGGCTCTTCCCCAAAGTCAAAATGACTGTGAATGATAAATATTTTGAATCAGTTTAGGACATTGAGGCCGTCATGACAGTGCAACTAAAGACACTTACAAAAGAGCACTTCCAGAGCTGCTTCAGGAAGAGGCAAGAAGGATGAGATCAATGAGTTGGAAGCAAAGAAGATAATTTGAGGGAGATTAATGTCAGTGCTTCTTTTACTCTAATAATTTTTTTAAATGTAAACCTTCACTTTATGCTTTGATTACACTGCGTATGTGAAGTCTGGATACAGTACATGAAATCTATGACACCTGGTCATTATCCATGCCCTGCTCACAGTCATGTGCTTCCTGCTCACAGGGGTAAGCTGTAACTGGAATGCCTTAGGAGTGGTATGGTTTATAGTAGAGATTCTGTCCTATGCATGGAAAACCCAGGACAACTCTCAGCTGCAGAGAGATAGCATCTCATCCGCTCAAAATGAATGGACATTTAAGGGCTTGAGAGAACGTGGAGAAAGGATAGGGAGTGTCAGGGAAGAGACAGAGACAGAAAATGTGTAACAGGAAGAGAGCCACAGCTGTGAAACCTTACTTACTTAAAATGAACAAAGGGAAAGTTTTCTCTAAATATGTAACAGCACTGGATCCCTACTTAAGTATCACAGAATAAGCTGAACTTTGCTTAGACAGCAATGTGCAGGACTCCAGTGGGCATCAGAGCCAAGGAGCCATTCCAGCCTCTGCTGCTTACTGGCTGTGTGACACATGCAAGTTTCACAACAGTCTTTGTTCCTAAAAATAAAGATAATAGTGGCAACTACTTCATAAGGTCATTATGGAGA